CTCTTGCAGTTAATAGTGCTGGGACAGTTGGGTTTCCATGTGGAAAAAATTAAATTAGACCCGTATTTCACACCACACAAAAAAATCAGTTTCAGGTAGATTATGAACCTAAATGTGAAAGACGACCATAGAGCTTTTAGAGATATTACTGAAGAATATTGGCTGTCAAGGAGCCTGCAGTGAACTGTGGCCGACCTGGCTTCCTTACCATAGTGTGCTCCTATAGCTCCAGGTGGAACTGATGAATGAGAGCCCAGTTGAAGCTGAGAAGTTGGTCTCTTCATTGTTGTCTTTGCTGCCACTGCAGCTGCTGACAAGAAACCTTCTCTTCAGCCTCGAGGGAGAAGCTTCCTGTGGGATGGGGAGGGGAGCTCCTTCTTAGCTCCTCAGCTGGGAGGCCTCAGTAGAGCAGTGAGAAACCCTGCCTCTCAATACCAAGGTGGCTTTGTGTAAAGCCACCCCTCTTTGAAATATCTCAAGTCTTGTTAAGTCCAATAGAACATTGGTAGCACTTACAGGAATAAAAGGACTCATGATATTAGAATTACCCAAAAGATAGGGGGAGAATTCTGAATTTGAAGGTGTGAAATCAGTGGTTAATTGTAGCACCACTCCAATTGCTCGAAGGTTTTCATCATTTCTACCTCTCAAATTATGCTGCATGGTATCCAAGTGAAATGCCAGATCCTTGAATTAAGCTGCTAACATTAGACAATGTGATAAAAATTTACTCTCTATGTGAGCTCCAGACACCCACTGAAATGATTGTGCTTTCAAAAGCAGAGGAGGAAAGTCTAATACTTAATTGATGCCGTGTTGTTTAAGAATTCCTATTGATCAACATCTTTAATACTTGGTATTGTTAGACTTCTTAATTTTTGCCAGTCTGAAGGGCATATTCCACATTTCTAGAGAGACAGCAGTCACATTTGACTTTGAGCCATTGGGAGCAGTCCTGAAGAATATCTTTAAACAGAAAGGCAAAGAGGAAGTCATGGCATTCCCACTATATATCAAATACCAGAATGGGGAGACCTGTTCAAGAGCCCTGGAGACATTGGAAAACTATTAGGTTCCTTACTTGTGCTTCCTGCAACTGAAGATAACTATAGTTATGATGCTTGTGCTACATACTCTGCTTACCCTGTGTCCTCAGCACCCTAGTGATTACAGCTGAATCAGGAATACTGTATCCCTGTGTTATGCTAGAAGGGGAAGAAGAAGATGACCAAATATCAGAAAAATCCTGGGATTCCAGAGCTCATCTCATTCCTTGTCTATCTGTTGGAGTTCACACTGAAAGTGGCATCCAGGAAGAATGATTCCTTCAACTGTCTTTTTTTTCCAGTCAGGCTTCACAGAGATCCCATAACCTTTGTATGTATCTTTATATATAACCTTTGTATAAACATTGCAATAGGGGCAGCCAGCTCTGATTGGATGATTCTGGATCATCCCTGTTCTGGAGGGATCTGCATCACAAGTATCCATGAATGCCTCCTAAGGCCTTTATTAAGCACAGTCCATCCAGCATCCCCTCTGCTTTGTGCTTGAGAAGATGCCAAGGTGGCAGAAACTCCCCTATTCTGGCTGCAACCCTGCATTTGTTCAAAAAGCACATGAGCGTTTTATAATGTTTTGTTGCCAGTCCATCATTTTAAAAATCATCCGAAAAGGCTGTGGCTCCCTGCTCCCAAACAATGATTTTATTCACCGTCAAGGCCACAGGGAACAGTACATTCTTACTTACGTGACAGAGGAGGAGATCTAGTAGAGGTCAAATTATTTTGACCAAAAAAGAAATAACTAGGGCCAGCCCCGTGGCTTAGCGGTTAGGTGCGCGCGCTCCGCTGCTGGCGGCCAGGGTTCGGATCCCGGGCGTGCACCGACCACCGCTTGTCGGGCCATGCTGAGGCTGCGTCCCACATACAGCAACTAGAAGGATGTGCAACTACGACGTACAACTATCCACTGGGGTTTTGGGGAAATAAATAAATAAATAAAATTATTAAAAAAATATATAAATAAATAAATAAATAAAACATGATGTCTGGGATTTGCTTCCAAATAACCCAGTGAAGGCTGTGGAGGACGCTGAGAGCCTGGTGGGTGCTCACAAAAAAAAAAAAAAAAAAAAAGAAATAACTAAAATATCTCAGCTATTGTTGAGAGAAAAAGAAAAGTCTATAGGAAATGGCTGAGAACTTAGCTGACAGATATGACCAAGGAAAAGCAAGAAGATATCGTGATTAGAAAGAAAAGAGCCTTCCACAGTTTTCACCCTCAAATCTCTGTTCTCTATTAGTGAGAGAGACATGAAAGCAGAATTACAGGTGATACCTGATCAACTTTAACATTTGGGCAATGCAATCAAACAGGTTACTATGAAAGAGGACTATAGACGGTAGAAGATGAAAAAGAGACCCAGTCCACAAAAACCCACCTTTACTCTCTGGTCCTACCAGGAAAAGTGCATTCGGTTCATCCAGAAGGAGGAATGTAAATACAGAAGGGAAATGGCACATCACTGATACCTGAAAGCTAAGGAACAGACTCACAACTGAAGTTAAACACAACCAAAGGCTTCAACCCACATTGTACAACAGATGAGAGGTAGCATTAGCTAATTTCTAAAAAAGCATTTTGAATGAAAAAATAATATCTTCATGATTTGAGGTTGGAGAAGAAACCACAAAGAAGAATAACTATAAACAAACTGTTAAATTCAACTGCATCAAACTTAAAAATTTACCTCCATTAAGAACAATATAAGAAGAATAAGAGATGAATAGGTGAGCCAAGGACTGCAGCATGACAAAGGACTGGTAGCCAGGATAAAAAACAACTCCTACAAATCAATGAGAAAAAAAAGATAGGTAACCTAATACAAAAATGTGCAGGAGACTTGAGTAGGCACTTCAGAGGATATAGAAAATGTCCAATAAACATATAAAAGCCATTCAACCTTATTAATCTTCAGAGAAACACAAATTAAAGTCATAGTGAAATACCGTTATACACCAGGTTAGTCAAAATTATAAAGTTTGGAGTTCCAAATGTGGCGAGGATATGTAGCAATATGAACTCTCGTGTCTGTTGGTAGGGAGGGTAAATTGGTATAACTACTTTGAAAAGCTATTTGGAATCATCCACTAAAGCTGAACATATGCATACCAGATGACCCAGTATTTCTACTTTGAGGTGATCAAGTCAGCAGAAATATATACACACATGCACCAAGAGACATATATAAAAGTGTTCATAGTAGCATATTTGTAATACCTCTGGATTGAAAACAACCCAAATGTCTGTCAGTAAAATAAATAAATTGTGGTATGTTCATACAATGGAAAACTATATAGCAAAGATAATAAACTATTGCTGCATATATCAACATGGGTGAATCTTATAAACAATGTTGAGTGAAGGAAATAAACACAAAAACATACTGCATGATTACATTTATGTGACATTCATTAACACACAAAAATTAACAATAGTGTTAAGGGATATATATTAGTCTGCTTGAACTTCCATAACAAAATACCATAGACTGGGTGGCTTAAACAACTGACATTTATTTTCTCACAGTTCTGGAGGCTGAAAGTCCAAGATCAGCACGCCAGCATGGTCAGTTTCTGGTGAGATTTCTTCCTGGCTTGTAGATGGCCACCTTCTCCCAGTGTGTTCACCAGACCTCTTCTTTGTGTGCACTTGGGAAAAGAGAGCAGGCTCTCTGGTGTCTCTCCTTATAAGGATACTAATCCTGTCTATCAGGGCCCCACCTTTATGACCTCATCTAACCTTAATTACCTATCTCTAGATATAGGCACCGTGGGAGTTAGGGTTTCAACATAAATGAATTTGTGGGAGACACAATTCAGTCTATAGCAGGATGATAAGTATTAATTTAAAGCAAAATAAGGAAGTGATTATATTAAGGAATGATAAGTATTGATATAAAGCAAAGAAGTCAAGATTGAGGTTACCTAAAATGTGAGCAGAGGAAGGAGTTGTGATTGGAAGATGCCATGTTGGCAGTGTTGTTTCTTGACCCACATAGCTATTTATTTTACAAATTATTTGTTAAATTGCACATTGATGTTTTATGCACTTCTCTGTAGTTATGTTATACTTAACAATTAAAAGGTTTTAAAAAAAGTAAAACCATTGTGTCCCTTCTCACTTCCTGTTTTACAATTTGTTAACATTGATGATTTATGTTACTCTATTATTAATAGGGATTGTGCTTAATTTTTTTGACTTTTCTGATTCCCCATAGAAATTATTTTTATATATTTAAAAAATATTGATATGGTAAATTTAAAATGTTTTAGTTATGCTCTTTTTTCTTCAGAAGCATTATTAAAATATGTTTGCTGAAATTCTGATGAATTGAGTTGAAATGATATTTTTGTCCTTAAGCGTCTTTCCATGTAGGTAGAGATTTCCAGCTTCACTTGTCCATGGCCTGCACTTTATTAAGGTTGGATCAGTTGTTAGAAATATATTTGGTCCTGTTAAAGACTCTCTTAGGCTGGTGAGATTAAGGAATAGAGGAGCTTTTCAAAAGGGCACTATCTCCAAATATAATGAATGAAAGAAATGCTGACTAGAAATATAGTCTTTTATGTAGCTCTACTTTCTTCTGGTGTTATTAGTCTGATCAAGTTGATATAACTGCTAAAATGGTACATTAATTCCTACTTCCAGCAATGCTTCAAAGGGATTATGAGTTGCTGTCATAATCAAGAAGTTATCTAGGAACCTGATTTTCTCCTCACTTTGAAAATTAGCCCCAGCAACTCAAGGGGCATCCATTTATCCTACCCAGATTGGTTGTGGGCTGAGGAGGCAGTGGATAGTGGTTCTTCTCAGTCTGAACAGATCTTTAGTCATATTTAAAACCCACTCATCTGTCGATACTATACAGAAGAAACAATAAAACAACAAGTTATCCCTTAAGAAAATTTCTCATAAAAGTATGTTTTTTGTTGTAGATAATTCGCTCCTTTCTGCTGTTTCCAACAATTGAGCGAATGTCTGAGTCACCCAAGGGCAGGATCATCACTCCACTTTTGTGCTGGTTTCGGTATGCTCTCTATGTCCCTGGATACTTACTACTTAAACCTTGGCCTGAGAAAATCAAGTCCTTGATGATCAGAATGGGCCTTCGAATGATGAACCTGCAGAGTGAATTTTCGTTCCTGAGTGTGTTGGAACCATTCTGCCTTGGTAAGCACATGTAACAATGTATATGTTTGTTCTTGTATCAGAAAGTGTTAAGAGAGAATAATCTCAGACAGTGGATGAATATCAAGGAAGGAATTATTTGTTGGTCTTTTTCTCCCAAAAGTTTAAAACTAGAAATAAAGGGAAAATAGTTAGAAGAGCTCTGTATGACAGATACAAAAGCCTCATCAAGTTTTAATTTTAAACCTTATCTTTCTGATTCTCCACTCTAGCTACAGGATGGTAAGAAAGACTTCTTCTGTATATTGTGTATACGGAGTCCTTACAGGAATCCAGGATGTGCCCTGTTAGCTCAGTCTGAGAACTTTGCAAAAATCAGGAAAACCCAAGGAGACCAGGCTCAATATTCCCGTAGAATAAACAGGCTATGCTTTTATTTTCCTCTTTGAATGTTTTTGGAGAGGTTTAAATTATAAAAGTAATAAATAATAGTCATGGTAATATAAAACTGGGTGCTTTGCTAATTATGTTTTCTGAATGTGCCAGGGAATGTTTTTGGTACTTTACTTTTTGGCTTCAAATGTTGTTTTTAAGTGTAATCTGTCTTTTTAGTTAATACTAAATTCTAGTGTATTTATAAATAATTTTCATAAAATAATCCTACTTTCTTAATCTATAAAATGGGGATAATAATATCCCATACCTCAAAAGATTATTGTAGGACTAAATATGATAATATATGCAAAGTATCTATCTAGTATTTTATTTACAATAAGCCTCCAGTGAATGATATAACAGCAGTTGCTGGAGCAGCTAATGGCACCATTCTAAGCTTTCACCTGTAGTCCTCAGAGGAACTAATGAGGTTTAGGTATTGTTACTGTCCCCATTTTATGGATGAAGATACTGAGGTACAGAAAAGTTAGGTCTTTTGCCCAAAGTCACACAACTAGTAGGTAGTGTTCAAACTCTGGCAGTCTGCCACTATGGTAAGCTTCCTTTCACCATAGCTGTTGCTATTGTCTTTTTGCCCCAGTCAGTCATAAAGGCAGGACTCCTAAATAAAGTTGCTGTGCCCACCTGTATTAAGAGTGTCACATGATCATGTGCACAGTGAGTCCAGCAACAGGTCACAGCCCTGCCTTTACAATTGTACAGCTACAGATTGTCTTGAGGGTGTTTTTCTAAATATGTAGTGAGAAGCAGTCAACACAAATACAAAGTTCAATATATTTTTTGTATTTGTGCATTTTATTCCCCTCCATGCTCTCCCCAACCCTCATTCTTTATTATAGCCTTAGCATAACGGTAGAAGAAGAGATAGGGAGAAGGGAAGCAAGGCTAAGGACAGTCATAAAAGTCACCAAAGATTGAAGTTGGAGATGTCCCTTAAAGACCTTCTGGTCCAGCCCCTTATCCTTCCCTCACATCATAGAAGAGAAAGAGATGGCCTAGTAAGTGAAAATGGCACTGACTGCATATTAGAAACCCTCAGCTCTCATCTTGGTTTTGCCTAGACTTACTCTGTGGCCTCAACTTCGTCCCTTCCCCTCTCTGGTTCTCAGTCCTTGATCACATCAAGAGTTAGACTAGATGATCTCTAAGGGCCAATACACCTTTGGAAATTATTTGAGACAAAATGGAAATCACTTGAAATTCCAGCAAACATATATAAAATTATTCTATCTGTACTTCAATAAGTCACTTTATTTCCCTTTACAGTTTTTTTTCCCTTCTTTGGTATTTTTCTTTTTACCCTATGGAAAGGATTTAAAAAAGCATTCTCCAGTTAGGGGCTTCATTTTCCTCCAAGGACTTCTGCTTCCAGGAAGATGGAATAGATATACTTTTCCCTGTTTCTCCTAATAAGTACTAAAAACCCTGCATATTATATATAAAACAGATATAAGAAGACTCTGAAAGGTGGAGAAGAGACCCGACCTTGTAGGGACCTTTGGACCCAAGGAGAACACAGTGGTGAATTCCCTGGGTTTTCTTTTTACCACATATGTCTTAGACTTGGAGCCAGCAATCCAGAAACACCAAAGGGTACAGACAAAAAAAGCCCCAACAAAAGCCTGCACTTTCTGGCCAAAGGACCAGGAAAATGGCAACCTTTCTCAAAGAAACTTTTAGATAATAACTGCTCTAATCTAGCCACGCACCATAGTAAAAACTGTGCCCTTATCCCTACCCATGCCAGCAAAGGCAAAGTGGGAAGCCTAGACTTCACCCCTGACCGAGCAGTAATGAGGCACTCCTCTCCTTCCTCACTAGGGTAGTGTCTGGAAGAGTCTGAGTGGAGAGTCAGGACTTTCACCACTACCCAGCAGTAATGGGGTCACTACCCCCACCACCCCTGTGAGATCAGTGGAGGTCATGTGAGGAGACGTAGAAAGGTACTCCTACCCGTCTCAGCCAAGATGATAACAGGGGAAGCCTAGTGGGGAGTCAGAATTTCTACTCCTACCCACAGAAAATGAGGAGTCCCTCCACCCCTTGGGTGTCAATAGAAACCAAGTGGAGAACCTAGATTTCTACCCCGCCTGGAGTAGTGAGGTGGCACTGCCCGCCTCCCCCACCCCCAGTTCACCTGCTGGATGTGTCAGAAAAAAAACAGCTAAAATAGAAAGTTGATCTGGACTATCATGACATAATATCCAAAATGTCTATGTTTTAGTTAAAAATCACTCATCATACCAAGAACCCAGAAAATCTCAACTTGAATGGAAAAAGACAATAGATGCCAACACCAAAATAACAGAGATATTAGAATTATCTGACAAAGATTTGAAAGCAGCTATTATAAAAATGCTTCTATGAGCAATTAATAAACGTGTTTGAAACTAGCAAAAAACTAGAAAGTCTCAGGAAAGAGAAGATTTAAAGAAAAACTGAATGGAAATTTTAGAACTGAAAAATATAATAACCAAAATAAAAAACTCAATACATATGGGCTCAGCAGTAAAATGGAGGGGACAGAGGAAAGAATCAATGAACATGAAGATAGAACAATAGAAAGAGACTTCCCAAATTTGGCAAAAGACATAAACTTACAGATTTAAGAAGATGGATGAATTCCAGACAAGGTAAACTTAAAGAAATCCACACCAAGACACATCATAATCAAATTTTTGAAAACTACAATAAAGAAAATGTCTTGAAAGTAGCCAGAGAGAGAGAATGCATTATTTATAGGGGAAGATCTATTTGAGTGACAGCCAGTTTCTCATCAGATTCTATAAAGGCCAAAAGAAATGACATATCTTTCAAACATAAAAAGAAAGAACTGTCAATACACAATTCTATATCCAACAAAAATATTCTTCAGGAAAGAAGAGAAAATTAAGACATTGTCCAATGAAGGAAAACTAAAGGACTTTGTAACCATCAGACCTATCCTAACAGAATAGCTATAGGAAGTTCTCTAAACAGAAAGAAAATGATAAAAGAAGGACTCTTGAAACATTAAGACAGGAAAGAACAACAGAAAGAAAACAAAATGTGGGTAATTACATTTTCCTTCTCCTCTTGAGATTTCCAAATTATGTTTAACAGTTGAAGCAAAAATTATAACACGGATATGGTTCTAAATGTATACAGAAGAAGTATTTAAGCCAATTATATTATAAATGAGGGAGGGTAAAAGAACATAAAGGGAAGTAAAGGTTTCTACACTTCACTTGAACTGGTAAGATGTCAACACCAATAGAGTGTATTAAGTTTTATATATATAATGTAATACATAGAACAACCACTTTAAAATCTATACAAAGAGACATATTCAAAGACACTATAGGTAAATCAAAATGGAATTCTAAAACATATTCAGTAACATGTAGGAAGGCAAAAGAAATAACACAGAGAAACAAAAAACAGGGAACAAACAGAAAACAAATAATAAAATGGTATACAAGCTCTAGCATAACAATAATTGCATTAAATGTAAATGGTCAAAAAATCAATTAAAAAACAAAGATTGGCAGAGTAGATTAAAAAAGATAACCCACATATGTGCTATCTTCAGAAAACTTGGGTCAAATATAATTATTTAGGTAGATTGACAATAAAAGAATGAGAAAAGATGTATCATGCAAACATTAATCAAAGGGAACCAGGAATGGCTATTAATATCAGTTAAAGTAGACTTCAGAGCAAAGAAAGTTACCAGGGACAGAGAGGGACATTATATCATAATAATGAAAGAGTCAATCTACCAAACAGACATAGTAGTCTTAAATGTGTATGCACCAAACAAGAAAGCTGCAAAATATATGAAGCAAAAATGGGTAGAACTGAAATGTAATGGACAAATCCACAATTATAGTTGGATACTTAAACACCCCTCTCTCAACAATTGATAGAACAAGACAGAAAATTAGCAAGGATATAGAAGTATCAACTAACAGGATTTAATAGACATTTATAGAATACTCCACCCAAAACATCTGAGTTTCTGATGGGCATTAAATAGGCAGCTACTTGTGTTTTCCTTATGCCTCTTTAGAAATATTTTCTAAACCCAAATCAGGACATGGAATATAAGAAAGTTTTATTTGTTTTTCTATATATATTTAATGATTATATAATACATTACTAAGAAGAAGGACCTGGCCACCCACTTCCAAAAAAATTAGCCATGAAAACCCTATGAATAGCAGTGAAGCATTGTCTGATATAGTGCCAGAGGTGAGCAGATGGTGCAGAAAGATCGGGCAGGGTTCCGCTCTGTTGTACACTCCTAGCTCTGTTGCTAGGAGTCAGAATCGACTCAGCGGCACTAACAACAACAAAAATATGTTACAATAGACATCTGATCAAGTGTTTAATGTTTTTAATTAAAACAGGTAATTATATAAAAATTTTTTCCAATTTTTCTACACCAGAGTTATAAATACCCTCTTGGCGAAGCAGGCTCCATAAGCTGCACTTTAGAGAAAGGAATCTTCCTTTCAGCTGCAGTGATTGACCTCCTACTGTGTCTTCCAGCAGCCCCAAGTGCAAACATCAAGGAGCAAGAGCAAGACAGTTGGGACACAGAA